CTTAATATCACGGTGAACGATACCGTTGGAATGTAAAAAGCCTAGCCCTAGCAAGAGTTGCTTGAACAAACATCCGCGTTCGACACGAGGCATACGCTTACTGGAGCATCCCTTAAAATCAGAGACTAAACTAAATAAATCAATACCACCGTAATCCATTACTAGACACCAGTTAAGATCATAAACAGTAAGGTCATAGACCTTGATAACATGCGAGGAATGCGGTAAGGATTTCATTAACATGAATTCATTAGCAATATCCGAATAGTAATCCTGAAGCTCTTGTTTACTAGGGGAGGTGATATTATCTGGTTTACGATTGAACAACTTAACTACCAGTAAATGGGTTTTGTCACGAAGTTCAGGGTCCTGGTGCCCCGCCTTTTCTGGTTTACGACAATAACACATTTTAACAGAAGCTGTAGCGCCAGAGCCAATAGCGTCTTTAAGATGAGCAGTAGCGAATTTTGATTTAAAAGTAGGACAATCCGTGCATTTATAGCAGCCTTTAAGATAATCTTGGGGAGCAAACTCCAGTTTATGGAACGAGGGGAATCCCAAATGGGTGTGAGATCGAGCCCGTGAAGATAAGGTAGATGATGGGGTCTCAATATTGCTATTTTCATTATTGAAGTCGTGAACCGCTACTGGTGATGACGAATTTACGAACGTATTACGGTCAGTATCACGATCGTGCGATAATGATACCGTAGGTGACGACGGGGACGATGACGTACCCATAGACGGTTGATTCCTATTGCTTCGACGCAGGCCCAAAAACGAAGTAGAACGGACGGGAGATGGTAGTACAGTTGACGCGTTTTCTGCAGTGTGTTGCGAGGTTACTGAATCGCTACGATCTTTACCCCGTGATCTAAAGCGAGAAAATAATGTTGGAGAGTCAGCGCCGAAAGAGGACAGAGACGAGGTAGAGCCTGCAGAGGATGAAACTGTCGATAAATCTGACTGGGCTCGCCTTATGCCATTTCCGATGGAATTGGCACTAGTACCTGTTGATGCGCTGTGGCCGGTATTTAGGCCATGAGGTGAATTATTGTGAGCGGAATGGGTATTGTTTAGACTCGCCTGAGAAAGCGGTTGATGATGAACTTCGCGATTGGGCACCGCTTTAGGGATTAGCAGGGGGGACGTTCCAGGGATAAATGTCTCTTGGGGGCTTGACTCGGGGTCTCGGAAAGCGGTAGATGATTTGATTTTCATACTGGGTCGGTGAAATAATGACCGTTTAGACTCGGTTGATGACAAAGGGGATGTATTGGTTGTCGCGACAGCCGTAAGCGGTGTGGAAGGGGTAGTAGCTGGAGCCGGAGTAGAGCTTGAGCTCGACCCGCCCGTAATTGGCGGGGTAGCTGGAGGAGAAACACCAGCCTCCGGCGACTTTGAGTTATGGAGCGATTTAGTCAACAGGGAAGGCAAGAAATGATGTTTAGGGCGAGGCGACGCCGGAGTAGAAGCAAACAAAAGCTCTGTGGACAGTGGCTTGGACGAGACTGAGGTAGAATCTGTGGAGTGGTTGGTACTGTTCATGGTGGGGGTAGAAGCTGGCGCCTGCGCCGGTTTAGACCGACTGAGAAAGGTCATTTATAAAAAAACCAGACGAGAGAGTGTGAGATAACAAAGACAAAGATAGAGAGTGTGTATACCAAAAGATTTCCAACCAGAAATGGCGACAGAAAGCCCTCTGAGATGTCCAAAATGTCCGAAATTATGTCCTTTTTTCTTAATCCTCACCAACGATAATCACCTGAATGTCGGAATCGGGGACCGTAAGAGTCCCCTTGGTGGAGGGGGGGGGAGAAGGAAAGGTTGTACAGTGACGTCATATATTATTATTCAGGAGAGATTGCTAAGGCAGCTCTTTTATGTTGTCATGACGACACCTTGGTTGCTTCTCCCAGCCCTATCTTTACTACTTATTTTATGAACAGTATTGGATATAATGGAACACTATATAGTGATTATGTTATCTTATAATTACGTGATTTCTACTATTTCTAAATAGTTGATGTTATGTAATCTCTTTTACTATTACTATAATATGCCCCTCCCCCACCACTTTGATGATGGGCCGCCTCATTGTCACCTTCACTCGCATCATCACCACCACCCTCGTTGACCATTGACGCTCGGTAATTTGGGTGTTTGCACTATTTGGATCGTTGAATATGATAAACTACTCGCCTCCTGCCGTAGTTCAGGTGGCGCCCTTGCCCGGTGATGTTTCGGCGCGTGAATTCCGTTTAATTTTTACCTTTGCTACCGATCTTATAAGTACCGACCTCACTCCGTCGCCACACCAACCACCCTTTGCCTCGTTATCGTCAACGTTGGCGTCGGCGTCGGCGCCCCCAACGTCGACATTTCCGTCTTTACAGCCGTACCCATCGCCGAATTCCCTAAATTCTACCTCTCCAACCAAAACCGGCTTGGTTTATTTTAAGACCCTCAATGCCGCGTTCCAAGCCGTTCATTTTTTGCAGTCCAACCGCTTCGATCCTGCTCTACGGGACCTGTTGGCGCTGGCTTCTGTGCAGGTCCTGAATAATAATAGGAACAACCTCAATAACGATATTAACAACAATAATAATAATAATAATAATAATAATAATAATAACAATAACAATAATAATAATAAAAATAATAACAATAATAATAATAACAATAATAATAATGGTACTAATGATAATAACGAAAACAACGAAAACAACTTAAAAAGCCCGTTCGGACTCCCATCTTCCCATAATTGGCTTGCGGGATCCACCACCGACCGCAGAATGGTTTCAGACCCTGTACTTTCTTCAGCCTCAACTACTCCCCTAGCTTCTACCACGTCAGCTTCCGCTGTATCCTCATCAGCTTCCGGGGTCCTGGGTAATCGCATTCCCCCTGGTATGGGCCCCGCCAACCCTGATGATCATACTAGTATTCACGGACTAAATTATCTGCCTTCTTCGTCGTTGGATAACGACTTAGGAGGCCCCGTGGGCTTGCCTATGTCGCACCATTCGGCACATTCTCACCCTTACTCTCAATCGCATTCCCATCCTCACTTTCCTGGCTCATCTCTTTACGGCACTAGTCTACCTACTTCGTTTGTACCCAATAACCGTCCTCAGTTTAATAGTACAACAAGTTTGCTAAGTGCTGTTCCTACGACTTCGCCCTCCTCTTCCTCTTCAGTGCCAACTTCAACGCAGGCACTAGGATCCGTCTCACTTACAAATCCCAATTCCAGTTCCAATTACAGTTCTAACTCTAGTTCGGCGTTTTCGTTCTCGTTCTCATCTTTACCCCCCGTAGCGAGACCGTTGTCAACTCGTGCAAGTTTTCTCTCTACCTTGAATGAAAACCACGACTCTTATGTGGATGCCAAAGCAAATGGAATAACTTCGGGTTTGAATTCAAACCCGGCCCTTGCGGCTGCTTTATCTATATCGCCACCAGCTACATCAACCTCGGCTGGAACACCATCTCTATCGTCCACTTCGACGTCAGTAACTACACCAATATCCAGTGTAAACTCACGATCGGTCTCGGTGTCTGCACCTGTGTCAGCATCCGTATCAACTCAAATGTCAACTCCGTCAACATCAACCTTGCCTAATACAGGTAAAACTATTGTACTGGCCAATTCGAATAACGACGATAGTGATTATAATGATATGATTTCTGATAGTATAGTATGGTTCAACAAATCTGAAAATAGCAAAAATGGAACTGTAAAGTTTGATAATGTCGATCCTAAAGACAAAGTTTCCTTATCCACAGTAGCCATAACGATATCAGAGTTCAATTCTTCGCCTGCAGTAACGCATACTACTGCAACAGCTTCATCAACTAAAACTGGTTCAGGAATAATAACACCATCAACAGTTAAATCCAAAAAATCACCCAGTCCTAAAAGATCACCATCTGCTTTATTTTCTCCTGCTTTGAACTTTCACACAACGGCTCCCGAAGACGTTGCCACAACGCCATCCTCACAGGTTGTCATTCCGTATTCACCTAATAACGTAACTAACAACATCAAGATCCTCAAATCGGGTGGCCGTGTACTTCCCCCGACTAATCCCGCTGATCAAAATCCCCCTTGCAACACCCTTTACGTTGGAAATCTACCTCTCAATACCCACGAAGATGAACTAGTAGCCTTGTTTGCCAAGCAGCCCGGGTATAAACGATTGAGTTTCCGGGTCAAAGCTAATAACCCTATGTGCTTTGTGGAATTCGAAACAATTGCCTATGCTACAAAGTCACTCACGGAGCTCTACGGTTTTGGATTGTCCAACAGTGTTAAGGGTGGGATTAGGCTAAGTTTTAGTAAAAACCCCTTGGGGGTGAGAGGTGCTAGTGGTGCCGGTATTCTTTCGTCCTCCAATGAGCGTTAATTATATGATATTGTTATAAAGAGCTAATTTAAGCTTTCCTCTTCCAATCTTTTTGGGTATATACATATTGTTTTCGTCTTTTTCCCTTTTTTCCGTTTTTCTTCCGTCTTTTTCTTTTCTGTTTTTTACTTATATTTTGTATCTTGTTTTTTGCTCTAGTCATTCGTCTAGACTCGTGCGTCTTGCGGCCGCTTGTTACCTAAAATTATATTTTATTAATTGCCAAAACTACGAAACCATGACTGAAGAAAGACCGAAAACTACAAATGTTCAATATAATAGCATTTGCCTTCGAAAGGGTTAGTGCAAAATACTTTCTTGGTTGTACGATATACGAGTTTAGAATTATTTTCTGGTATAGTTAGAAAGTATCTAGTTAGGTAAGCACCTGTGTTTATGATACGTAGAGAACAGGTAGGCACTAAAAAGCTTGAGAAGATGGTTGGAGAGGTTCAACACTAAATGCTGCCAAAACAAAAAAAAGGCAAATAATGAAAGTTGAAGATGCATTATATTTCCAGAGGCACACATTTAGAAGAAAGAAAGTAACCTACATATTCTGATGAGCAAGAATTATAACAAAAAAAATTTCGACAACTGCAGGACTCGAACCTGCGCGGCCATAGACCAAAAGATAACTATATTTCAATTATTAATATATTCAAGTCTTTCTCCTTAACCACTCGGACAAGTTGCCTTAATCTGCGCCAGCCCGGAATCGAACCGGGGGCTCACCGATGGCAACGGTGAATTTTACCACTAAACCACTGGCGCTCTTAACTTGCAAGGGTAAGTCTGTTACACTTTGTATTGAAAGATATTTTTAATGAAGTAGGGTAATCATAATGTTATACGCGAATAAGAGTTAGTTATTTTTTGATTTATTTTTCTTTTTTGATAACCTACTGAAGATATTTACACACTAAAAACTCTAAAAGTGTAATCAGAATTATCAAATTTAATTAATTTGAAAACATTTAAATGCCATGAGATAAACCATGAGAAAATATTGAAAAATAAGCAGATAAAAGAACCAGGAAAACGAAAGCAAAAAAAAGTAAATAAAAAAGCAAAAAAAAAATAACCAATTGTTCAAAGGCTCATCAGTTCATCAATTTGGAATAATGCGGTCTTGGTACGCTCGCGTACATCCAAAGTAAGATCACGGCTTCTCTCCTCCAAATAACGCCTAAAGCCCAGATCTACTAGAACTTGAGCCCGTGATTTAAGTGATTGCATCTTAAATGCATTACCATGTACTTCGGTCCAAGTCAAATTAATAATCAACCATACACAAGCTGTACGAACTTCGGGGTCAGAATGCACAATTAATGGTACTAACATTTGCAGAATAGTTTGATGCTGCATAATCAAATTACAGTGATCTTCATCGGTGGCAATGTGCACTAAAATAAAAATTGAACTGGTTAAAATATTAATGTAGCTATGCTTCTTACTGATCTTGATCTTAGCTTCAATCAGTTTAAATAATTCATCAGCGCCCACTTCGTCAACCAGATAATGCAATAAAGAGTGGTGACAAAGAAAATTTCGAATAAAACCCAAAGCTTGCTCTTGAATTTCAATATCTTGGTCATAACAGAGTTCAAATAAATGCCGTACGCCAATTTTGTGTAAAATATTAACCTTTTGTTCAGCCTCAATATTGTAAATAGCGTGTGTGAGCGCCCAAATAGAATTCAAGCGCAATGGGGAATAACTGGAATAAGTGTCCTCGATGATCAGATCAATCATACCCTTCTCGAATATTGGCGTATGAAGTGGACTAAAGTCCAAAATCAGATTACACACTGCAGCCATAATCGAGGTCTTGATATCTAATTCTTCATCATCATCTTCGTGTTGATCACTTGAAATTTTGACTGACTTGCCTATACTTTCATGATTAGCGAGGCTATTAACACCATCAATATTTATTTTTTTGTTTGGCGTTTGCCGCAGTAGATCAATAATACTGTCAATGATGTCTACGTCTGTCAAACTAGTGCGTAAAATATTCACACTTCGAGAAAGTGCCCGAAGTACTTGACATGCGGCAACCTTTACTTTTTTTATATCACTTCGTAGCATTAGATGGTACCTATCCACCTTGAGATTCATAATCTTAATCACCAGTTTGAGCACGCCCTTATCTATAATAATAGACCTGAAGGAATCTTGATGCAAACCAATAGCTGCCAATAATAAAAGTGCTTCAGCTACAACATTAGCGTTAGACCATCGACGGAAATCAGCTTTGAACACTACCTGAGCTGCCTTTTCAATTACATCACATTCAACCGCTAAAGTAGCCAGTCTAATGTCATCACGACACAGTATGGCCAGAACCCGAAATAGTTCAACACTATTTTGGGATTCATCCAATAAAGGGATTAACGTAGGTAAGAGCGGGTTACAGAGTCGGTCTCTCTGAGCAGGTACGGTAGTATAATACTGTAAACTGGCCAATAAGGATGCAGCAGCTAGTCGAATTTCAGCATTATCTGATCTCAATAAGTTCAGGAGCTCATCGATAAATAATTCACCATTTAAGGAGTTCTTGATGGTCCCTGTAGGTTTCGAGGTATGGTGACGGCTGGCCAGTAACGAATGAGCACCTTGAGAGGGAATTATATGCGCTAAAGCAAGTAGGGCTACGGATAAAGGTATATGAGATAGAGATGACTTATTGTACTGACGCATTAAATGATGAAGCTGCCAAGTCAGTGGTTCAGCTAATCCACCTAAAACACGAATAGACGATTTAGAGAAGGCTAAAGAGCAGATCAGCGAACAAGCATAAGACACTACCAATGTAGGTGTCGACGAGTAATTTAATATGTCGCTCAAAGTACAAATGAGCTTAGAATCCTGGGTAATAACACTAAACTCCCGATTGGTTTTGGCTAGCGTACACAACACGCGCAAACAAGGCAGATGCAAATTAGGTGCTGTAGGTTGAAATAAACGAACCACAGCGGGGATCACGGGATACTTCAGCAAAGCGGAAACAACCTCTCGGTTACCAGATGCAAATGAAGCTAGAATAACGCAAGATTCCACTTGAAGCTCCTCAGTGCCCACAGCTAGGATATTGAGTAGATCAGGGATAAGGTCTGTAAGAACAAGTTCAAGCTTGACATCTTCATAGCCTATGATTGAGTTTTTCAGCTTCTTCAACGCAGTGTATTGGACAGAGACATTAGAAGACTTTAGACCATCGTCTAGACTCATTAGTGGATCGCAGGCCATATTATTTACCGGCAGAAAAAAATGGAAAGGGTTGGACTCGAAATAGGTATGGGGGCGGCGGTGTATGTAGCGGGCAAGTCGCAGTCACAGTCAATGGGTGGGGGTGCAAGTATACACAAACTCAAGAGTATTTACAGAGTATTAAAGAGAAGATAAAGGTAAATTGGGTTTTACGAGAAACCCAAAGTAAAAATTAGCAAGATTTGGATGGTATTAACAGTGTTTAAATTGCAAAAATAGACGCAAAATGTTGTAAAAAAACAACCTCCAATACAATTTTGCAGACCACGATAAGTCCAGGATAAGTGGAGTCGTCCCTTCAGCAAGGAAGAACTCTCCCCAAGAAGCGCGAGCTATGCACACTTACGTAATCAAAATGGAGCTATCTTTGAAGGGGAATTAGCTCATAACGTGTTTCAACTATTAGTAATCAACTATTAGTAATCAAATTACATAATAACGTACTCAGCGGGAAATTTTCAGTTACCCGCCAGATACAATTTACACGTGACCCAATTTCCCATTTCAGGATGCAATTTTTTCCATCTGTATACCACATCCAAAGGGGTCTGTCTTTTCTTTTCGGATTTCCCCTTTTTTTTTTTTTACTGTACATCAACGAATTCAACATGGCTGTCGGCAAGAATAAGCGTTTGTCCAAGAACAAGAAGTCCACCAAGAAGAGAGCTGTCGACCCCTTCACCAAGAAGGACTGGTACTCTATCAAGGCCCCCTCCACGTTCGAAAACAGAGATGTCGGTAAGACTTTAGTCAACCGTTCCACCGGTCTTAAGAACGCCAACGACTCCCTCAAGGGCCGTATCGTCGAAGTTTGTCTCGCTGATCTCCAAGGTCAAGAAGATCACTCTTTCCGTACTATCCGTCTTAAGGTTGAAGAAGTTCAAGGTAAGTCCCTTCTTACCAACTTCAACGGTTTAGATTTCACCTCTGATAAGCTTAGATCTCTTGTCAGAAAGTGGCAAACTCTTATTGAAGCTAACGTCACCGTCAAGACTACTGATGATTACTATCTCCGTCTTTTCGCTATTGGCTTCACCAAGAAGGCTCCTAACCAAGTCAAGAAGACCACCTATGCTCAATCTTCCCAAATCCGTTCTATCAGAAAGAAGATGATTGAAATCATTGCCCGTGAATCTGCCAATGTCTCCCTTGCCCAACTTACCTCCAAGCTTATTCCTGAAGTTATGGGCCGTGAAATTGAAAAGGCTACCCAATCCATCTACCCTCTTCAAAACGTCCACATCAGAAAGGTTAAGGTTCTTAAGGAACCCAAGTTCGATCTTGGTTCCCTTTTGGCCCTTCATGGTGAAGCCTCCGCTTCCTCGGAAGATGCTGGTAAGAAGGTCCACAGAGAGTTCAAGGAAGTCACTCTTGAACAAGTTTAAATCATGTTATAATTTTTTATATCTTTTTTAATTAATTCAAAACAAACTATTCTCACATTAAACCAAAATTTTCATTTTTACCTTTTATATAATATTCTATTCACAAAACACATAGTGGGACATCATTAGCGATTGTTAGCTAGACTATTCCAAACCTTGTCTACTTTTTCAACCTATGTAAATAATATGAAGAATTCTTAGTCCAAGTTTTATAGACTTTATTCCTAAAAAACTAATATACTTACAAAGTCGATAAATGATGCGTCCTGAAGCAAATTCAAAATTTGTGTTCTTAATTCCTGATCTGAAGAAGTTAATGGTGTTGAGGTGGAAATAGTTAATGCTAATTCATCTAGTTTCGATGGTTGTGCCGATATCAAATCTGGTGCCATCATATCGTTTGGGGGTATTGTTGTTGCCGAGGATGAGAAAGAGGTAGCCATACTCTGATCACGTTGGTCTTCAGATAAATCTGAACTCTGAGAAAATGAGAATGAAGAGCGTGGAGAAAGAGGTACCCTGATTGGCGTTACTATCGTGTCTGATAAACGTGATGGTAAGGGAACTGGTAAACAGTCGGTATTTTCACTCGCAGATTTCACAAATTTTCGGGACCCGTTGGGCACTGGTCTATCATCAAATGTAGCTGATGCAATAGTTTGTGATCTTTGTGTTTGAGGGTTTTGTGTTTGGGATTTCAACAGTGGCGGAGTTTTTCTTTGATATTGCATTGGTTGTACCTGTAATGACCCTGGCTGTGTTTGTGATATTTGTAATGGAGCCAGTTGTGTCTCATATTGTGCCGGTTGTGATGGATATATTGGTGATGGTACTGGCTGTGTTTGATATTGTGTAAATGGTATCTGGTAAACCTGTGATTGCACAGATTGTGATTGAGGCGCTTGTAATGGTACTAATTGTGATTGGGGTACTTGTAATAGTGGCATTTGTATTTGATATTGCGCTGGTTGAGATTGAGGTATTTGTGATGGCATTGGAGATTGTTGTAGTTGTGCCGGCAATATTGGGTGCGGCATGA